AATTTCCCAAGAAGCAATCTAACTACCAGACAAAGCACAAATGGTGTTTCCTCTGACCTTGAACTACAGCAGAGTTTAACTGAACATCACTTGGCTTTGCTTACAGCTGAGCACTCCCATGTTTCTGCTCTCCCACCACAACCCACCCACTCAGACACTCAACCAGGAAATGGCACATGCTCCAGTGTGCAGCTCTATTTTCACATGCTTTTAAGATCACGCTCCTTGACAGCGCATCAAAGCCAAATGATCATTCCCACACAACATAATTTCCTCCAGTGCTTCCAGGTTATCAGATGGGGACCACAGAACCCAGTAATAAGAACAATTGTGCTACACAGATACCTGGGAAACAAGAAGCCCATGTTTTGTTCAGGGGTTATCAAATGCTTGGACAAGTAAAAAAAATTGCTCTGGACAAGTGAATTTTTTTTCTCTAACAAGATACACAAAGCATACTAGAAGTCATGATAGATTTATTTCTTTTTAAATGCAACAGGTTGACCAGGCTGAATACTGAAAATCTTCAAAACTTCATTCTAAAACTCCTTATTCCTGGGAAATTATACATCATCATTGTTCATGGTCTGATTGAGGTTACCAGAGGTGTGCAAACAAATGTATGAAAAAGCAGAAATTTCTTGGGAAAAACTGTTAAACATCCCTGTTTACCTAAAATACAGATAGAAGTGATCCACAAGTGCATGTCTGCTCTAGAGCCAGTTGCTCACCTCCAAGACAGGAGCATGTCTTCGCCTAGAGGTCGAGTTGACCAGCAGGGCTGGAGAACTGAATGCCAAGCAGCACATCCATGTGGCTGGGACCACTGTCCCGCCACAGGGCTGCCATGCTCTGTGCAAGAGCTCAGACAGCTGCTGGGGCAGGATAGAGCAGCTGGGCTGCATCCCTGGAGCTGGAGATATGTTCAGGGTACTTGAGAGCTGGGGGCTTAGCCAGCCAACTCTGAGCCCTGCAGCTGCTACAAACCTCCCCCTCAGCCCATGAGAAAGGGCTGGGACATTCAGTAGCCAGCACCAACACAAACCTCTGCGGGCACTCCACTGAACGTGTAAACGTGGGGCCTCTTCCCAAACACAGAAACAGTTCCCAAGTACACACAGTGCTCATCTTAGCCCAGTCCTCCAATAAGTTCTCGCTCATCCTGTTTCTCCTACACATCACCTTTTCCAATGCCTCAGCAGAAAACAGCTCTGGGGGAACCTGAAGAGCCCAGGGGATGTGAACCAACAAACCTGGCTACACTGGAATGAAGCAAACGTGTCCTTGGAAAAAAAATTCCTTTCTTGACAGACGTTCCCCTTACTGCTGTGGTGAAAATAGCTCCAATACCACAGACAGTAAAGCTTCAACCCAGACAGCAATGTGTCTTTGTCATCCACACCACATCTTCACTGCCTCTATTTGGTTTTTGTTTATTTTTTAATTTTTAACCTCTTTGCAAATATTGTGGTGTAAATGGCCACCAGGTCAAATGCTCCAACCGGGCAAAAAGGGGATGCCAATGAAGCCCCAGCAGAGACACAGATCTCCTCCCTCCACACCTGCCAGAATCATCTGGAAGGAATAAT